CTGTGTGCGATACAGTGGCACGAAACCAGGTGCGGGATGCAGAGTCGAAGCCGCCCAGTGAGACCGTTGGTGCCGCCGAGCATGACTGGAGCGCCGTCGGTGCTGATCCCTGCGATCTTGCCTAGGGGCACGTTGATGCTGTCGAGGTAGCCGACGAGCACTGCATACAGTGATCCTGCGTCACATTTCTCCACGGTCAAGAGCGTCAGAAATTCCGTGGTCACCTCGTGTTCTCTCAAAAACGTGACGAAGACAATCATGTGCTTCCCCCGCACGCGGTCGGTGCTCTCATCACAGCTCAAGCCAATGAAGGGGCTTGAGTCTATGAACTCGCGTTGCTTCGCACGAAGATAAGTCGCTGTAGCTGACACCAGTTCCTGGAACCCGTACCTGCGCAAACACAGTTAGGAAACCCGTATGTTAGGCCATGATAGTTTCGACCGTTACGGCAACCAAGTTGTCACTTTAAAAATCAGAGGCATCACTTACGTTGTATAATAAGCGCCGTAGCCGTTCTTCGGGAATCCTGGCGTACCGCGGGAAGCAAGGTGCCGTACGTGTTGCACCCACATCTCGATGGGTGCGTCGGTCCTTGTAATGAACAACAGCGTGTCCAGCAGCGACTGCACAGCATCATGCTCGAGGTCACGCGCCGTCGGGCAGTCGGGGATGCGATGCTGCCCGGTTGCGTTCGCCAACGCCAGCTCCTGGTTGCGAATAGCGTCCTTGTGCTTCGATGTTCGCTGATGTCGCTGCATGGCTTGCGTCTGCACATCCAGTGCCCCCTCGCCTTTCCCGAAGTTTGTTCCTGTGCCTGCATACTCCATACACACGGTGCACTTCATAGAAGGGAAACCATACTTGGTTTGACAAATGATAAGCCACGGGAAGTCTTCGTTCCACCTCCTCTTGAACATGAGCAGAGCTTCCTGGTACTTCTCCTCAGTGATGTCGGGTATTTCGGTGTCAGAGGAAGCAGTGGGGGCGGTTTCAATAAGAACAGTGGGTTCCGGATCTTGCCTGGAGACGGACAGCACCGTCGTGTTGTCTGATGCACGGACGAAGGACAACTTCGTCTGGTGGTATCGCTGCGCGGAGACCTTCGTGCTCGGAGGTCCCTTCCGGGTTGTCCCAGCGGCCTTCGAGCAGTCCCCCTGCGTACGAATCGGCGGAGGCAAAGGCTCGTTATCAACCACGACCGGTGCTGCTGTCGAGGGAGAAGGCACGGGCGGCTGAGACGGCGAAGGGATGGTTGCAGCAGCGACAGCGGCAACATCTACCGTGGGTGGTGGCGGCGGCTGAACGGGCCTGGTGCGCAAGAAATCGAGGCCTGTCAACCCTACTGGGCCGACCGTTGGGTCAGGCATGGCGGGTGCTTCACCATCGCCCGTCGGCGATGGGTCAGCCATGGGCGAACAGCAGTGGTCGATTGTGCTCTGAGACAAACCTACGACGAGCTAGCAAAATCACGGGGGAAACAAAGATTCTTGGGAGTGAGCCAGGGGTTTGGTAGGCACTCAACAACAAGATGGAGAGGAAGGAGCGCTCGAGGGAATCAGAAAGATTCCTGCCTGAACCTTGCCATCCAAACCAACCCCGCGTGAACCTATAGTTGGTTTGTGTCTGCATGCGGGTTCGGGTGGATGAAAACAGTGTGTACAGTCTGGAGGGAAGCACGTGATGCCTGCGTACAGCAAAGATGGCCTCATCGTGTAAAGTGAGCGCGGCGCACTCTCATTGGTCGATATTACAGCAATGCAGGTTGCCACGGTTGGCGCGGCGTGGTTTCCAGCAGAGGCATCAAAGTCAGGGCGTCAATCACGGCGAAAAAAGTAACGCAGTACCTGGTCGGTGGTTGGGTACACTCGGCCCCGGGCGAAATTGGCGCAATACTAGATTCAGGACGACTCTCAACACTACACTGAACCATCAGGGCTGAACCTACATGCCTATACTGAAATTCCAGCACGCAACTTACCACCTATACTGAAATTCCAGGACAACTTTTTCACTTATGCTGTTTTTCCAGGACTGGGACCCCACAGCTATACTGAATTCAGGAGAATCAGGATAAATTATCCTGATATCTGAGGCCCTGTCGGCAGGGCTTACTTTATTAGAAATTATGTGTCTGAATTTCTGGAATTTGAACACCTTTTTACTAGTTCGTCTGATGCCGTAGACAAGCTATTTTACCGTATGGCCCCGGATATAGGCGCATATGCGCTTATAATAAAATCATTTTTTTGAGGGGGGGCGCTTGTAATTGAGTAACGGCCATAAGCGCCGGCGCTTATATAATGACAAATACGAAATTATAATTTTAGAGCACCAAATTGTTCATTTTCTTCTTGCCATTTCAACCGAGTCGAAATGTTTTAGCGTCACAATGCAGAATCTCGCACAAGCGATATTCTGGGTTCACACACAGGCAAAGCCACGTCATTCCAGCACATCCTGACTGGACGCGCAGCCAGTCAGGTCTTCACGAGTCGAACGAAGCGAAATTGAAATCTGACTCGCTGCAAAAATGGATTTCGTTACTGTTTTAGGCAAGAATTTAAATTCAAATCGCATATGCGCTTTGTGAAGTAAAGAAAACAGGAATGAAATGACTAAGGAAAGATGGGGTACAAATACAACCCTAGAAAACCTGTACCCCATATGTGCTACCCCACTATAGCCTACAGTAACTATGTCATATAAATCTGACACACCCCCATAGGCAAAGTGGGGGAGAACAAGGGGTCACAAGACCAGTCAAGCAAAGCAAAGCAAGCTCAGGGTGGATCACAAAGTCACCACACAATCCGAGCACAAGAGTAGGGCCAGAGGCCAGTTCACATGCAGGAGTACAGACATATACATAAAACTAGACAAGCAAGAGCAGGCATATATATATGTCACAGTACAAGTGAAGTCAAGAGGAGAGCAAGTGAGGCAAGACAGGCACAAGACCCAGCTGGGTGCAAAAGCGCTGATGGTCACAAGGCGCGAGTGCCTTGGTGAACACATCAGCAGTGTTGGCCTCAGAGGCCACGTACGCAAGTCGCAACTGACCACGCTGCTGCAGCTCACGAGCAAGGAAGTAGCGGAGAGCAATGTGCTTCGTTCTGTGCTCCAAGCGCTGCTCTCGACACAAGGCCAGCATGGCCTTGTTGTCTACGTACAGCACTGGAGGAGAACGAGGCGGCTCTCCAAGGTCAGTCAGCAGGTAGGTGAGCCAGCGAAGCTCCTGTGCAGCCATGGCCCCGGCGTAGATCTCAGCCTCACAACTGGAGCCGAGAACCGAAGACGAGCGAGTAGACCGCCACGAGACAGAGCCGGAACCAAGACTGAAGGTGTAACCCTGTGACGACCGCTGCGTAGTCTGGTCGTCAGCCCAAGAAGCGTCCGCGTGGCCGGTAAGGACCACTGGACTCCGCCCCCCAAGCACTAGCCCCATGCCCGACGTACTGCACAGGTAGCGCAATACCCTCTTCGCTGCAGCCATGTGCTCCGGTCTGTGTCTCCCAGGAGCAACATAGCGTGCAAGAATGCTCAGAGGGTATGCAAGGTCAGGTCGTGTGCAGGTCATCAGGTACATGAGGCAGCCAACAAGCTCTGCATACGGACCACTCGACTCTACGGACTCATCCGAAGGCAGAGCTGAGAGTGAGTGGCGAGTAGGCAGAGGAGTGGCCTGAGGCGAGGAGTACGTGAAGCCGAAGCGCTGAAGGACCTGCTGCACCATGTGTGACTGAGTCAAGGTAATGGTGCGGCGTGCTCTGTCCCGAGTGATCTGCAAGCCAAGGTAGCTGCGCAGTTCACCCAGGTCTGTGCACGTGTGTCTCTTCAGCAGCTCGGACTTCACGTAGGCGAGTCCAGCAGTGTCCGCTGTGGCAAAGACCAAGTCGTCGACGTACACGAGGATGTAGAACGGCGGCAGGGAAGTGTCGGTGCGAAGAAACAGCGACGGGTCAGCAGTAGAAGGAGCAAACCCAAGAGCCGCAAGCGTAGTCCTCAGTGTGTCGTGCCACTCACGCGGTGCCTGGCGGAGACCGTAGACTGGCCGTCGGAGGCTCCACTGGGTGCCAAGAGGGAAAGTCCCAGTGAAGCCAGGTGGACGGCGAAGCCAGATCTCCTCGTGCAGGCTACCCTGCAAGAACGCAGTGCTGAAGTCGAGAGAGTGAAGCTCGTAGTCGCGCTGAGCGGCTATGTGCAGCAGCACCCGAAGAGTAGTCATCTTCGGGGTGGGAGAGAAGGTCTGAAAGTAGTCAACTCCCTGCCGGTGACTGAAGCCACGAGCAACGTACCGTGCCTTGAAGACAGGTGGAGAGCCCGGCGGCCGCTTCACCCTGAAGATCCACATGCCACTGACGATGTTCGCCCCAGGAGGGGGAACCGCGTCAACGTAGGTGCCTGTGGACTTCCAGGAAGCCATCTCTGCATCCATAGCTGCCTGCCACTGAGAGGAGTAGGGACCCTCTACGGCCTCCGCGTAAGAACGCGGAGTCGGGATGTCTAGTGCATCCAGGTCTCCCTCAGGGGCAAGCAGTACAGACGCGAGATGAGGTGAAGCAGCCGCTAGACACTGTAACTCCTCCTGCCTGTCCTCTAGGACGTCCGTGCCAAGAGCACACTCACCCCCGACGGACGGAGGACAGACAGACGCAGACTCAGCAACAAGACTAGCAGCGTAGTCTAGACGACAGCGAGCAGCAAAGTCGACGAGCTCAGCGACCAGAGCAGACGCAGCAGTGGACTCAAAAGAGGGGTCAGTGACGACAGTAGCAAGCAGACGCGTGACAGTAGGACTGGCAGCACGAAGCGAGTCCGACTCAGGGTCGGCAAGCGCAGGAAGAGAGGACTCAGGAGGAGAAGGCAAAGGGGCACGCAGAGGAGCAGTAGACGGACGCAGAGACATCCGGTGCGTGCCAGGGACAGGAGGAGGACGCTGACGCGAACTGCGACCACTAGCGCGAGCAGCACGAACAGGCGACGCGGGACGAGACGCAGGCTCACGACGCTCAGCAAGACCTCCAGTAGGACCAGTGTAAGGAGAGGGAGCAGGCAGTGGAGAGGAAGGCTCCAGCAGGGACTGCGACTGGACAGGCGGTGGACCCTCTACTGGAGGAGAAAGACCAAGAACCTGCTGCAGGAGCGGAACGAAGTACGGCCGAGGCCGCGTGGCAGCTCCAGACTCAGCAGGGACAGCATCAGCACCCTCAGCGACAGCACCAGCGCCACCCACACCTCCAGCGGCAGGACCAACAGCAGTAGGCTCAGCACCAACGCCCTCAGCAGCTCGAGCTCCAGGAGGACCCGCAGGTCCAGCAGCTCCGGGACCGGCAGCACCCGCACCCTCGACGGTCGAAGAAGCTCCAGCTCCAGCTCCAGCTCCAGACTCAGCAGCACGCCTCCAGCGGCGAGCGAACCACTCGCGCAGCTCCTGTGGAGAGAGGGGCTCCCGGCGAGACGCAGCAGCAGGAGAAACCCCAGGCTCAGCAGCTCCAGACGCAGCACCCCCAGGCGCAGCAGCTCCCAGCTCAGCACCCCCAGGCTCAGCAGCTCCCGACCCAGCACCCCCAGACCCAGCACCTCCAGGCACAGCACCCCCCGGCTCAGCACCCCCAGGCTCCGCACCCTCCGCAGTAGCACCCTCAGGCCCAGCACCCCCAGCAGTAGCACCCCCAGGCTCAGCACCCCCGCGCACAGCACCCCCAGAGTCAGCACCCCCAGGCTCAGCACCCGCAGCAGCACCAGAGTCACCAGTAACCTCGACCGGGTCAACGGCGTCTACCTGGGACACACCTGAGGGGGCAGGAACCTGAGGGGGGAGGGGGTCTACCGGGGGGGGGAACCGGCACAAGGAAGTCCGGCGGAGGGGGGAGGGAAGGAGTGCGGTAGGGGAAGAGACGGTAGAAGGGGACTGACTCGTCGAACGTGACGTCCTGGGAGGACAGAACACGACGAGAGGAGGGGTGGTAAAACTGCCACCCTGGGGCGTCAGTGGGGAAGCCAAGGAAGACACAGGGAGCAGCGCGAGGGGACAGCTTGTCCGCAGACAAGTCGCGGACAAACGCCCGAGATCCCCAGACACAGAACACAGACGCATCGCCAACCTTCCCCGTCCACAGCAAGAATGGGGACATCGTAGGCCGAGAGACCCGGGGGTGAAGGTTGAGCTGATGCGCCGCGTACCTCACCGCAAACGGCCACAGAAAATGGGGGGCAGCCGCATGCATCATGGACGTACGAGCGACATCCATGACCATGCCAATGCGGCGCTCAGCAATCCCATTTTGCTGCGGTGAGTCCGGAAGCGTGAAGGTCTGGCGGATCCCCCGTGCACGACAGTAGTCTCGCAGAAGGCGAGAAGAGAACTCTCCGCCTCGGTCAGAGTGCAGACGCAGAACAAGAAAGTCCGAGCCGAAGCTCTTCCTGAGCTGGAGACGAGCCTCGCGGATCCAGTCGATCAGCACCTCAGTGACCGCACCCTTGCTGCGCAAGGGGAGGATTGTGGTGTAACGCGAATAGTCGTCAACCACCAACAGGAAGTAGCGCTCGTAACCCTGCCCACGGACGGGGGCTGGGCCCCACACATCCATGTGAAGCGTCTGCAGGGGAGCCTCTGTCGGGGGGAAGTGGGAGGAGTGAGGAGTAGCCCGGAGGCGACCCTCGACACAGGGGACACAGGAAGGTCCTGGCCCGGAGGGGAGAGGAGGGAGAGACTGGGGAAGACCAGAGACAAGGACACGGGAAGCCATGCTCCGAAGACGGGGCAAGGAGGGGTGGCCAAGACGGTGGTGCCACAGGAGAGTCTCGTGAGACAGGAGGCGACAAGAACAGGGGGCAGACTCAGGACCTGACCGGGACGCAGCAGCAAGTACCTGACCCGACGCAGCCACCTGACTAGACGCAGGGACAGGAGGAGACTCAACGGTCAGGGTGTAGAGACTCGACCCCGGCCGACGCGAGAACGTGGCCAGGTGTCGGCCTGTGCGTGCCTCCGTGCAGTGGGTCACCCGCTGACTCGCAGGAGTGAACTGGTGAACACCCCCATCCTGCAGGTCTGCTCCACTCACCAAGTTCGTAGAGAACGAGGGAAGGTACAGACCCGACAGGGTGCCCGAAGGGGCAGCCGGACACGGGAGGACAGTGGAGAAGTGAGACAGGACAGGACCCCCAGAGGGGTCAGCAAGGGAGACCGCAACCGGCCGGCCAAGCGGCGTAAGGGTAGTGCGGTCTCGAAAGAAGGAGCGAGAAGCTCCGGAGTCAAGTGTGAAAGTGAGGGAGGACGAGGACGACCCAGTACCTGAGAGCGCAGTCTCACCAGTACCTGAGAGCGCAGACGCACTGGCACCTAGAGCAGCAGCCTCACAAGCACCTAGCGCAGCAGGACCAATGCCCGGGTCGGGCTGGAAACAGCGGTAACCCTCATTCTCCTCACTATAATCCACAACATACATAGCAGTAAGGATAGCATCAAAATCAAGATCAAAGATCGCTACACCAGCCCTGAGAAGCTCATCCCAGCGAGGGATCTCACTAGCCCCAGGGAACTGCTGACGCCAGGCGTCCGTCAGGCGGCCAAAGCAGCGCTGGGTCGCGTGGGCACCCCCACACTGCTCACCCGCGCGGTTGCCGGAACGAAGAACGTAGGTGTAGGGACCAGTACCCCCACCCCTCTGACGCCCAGCGTACCACTCACGAAGCTGCTGAGGCGAAGGGATGTCCCGAGAGCGCTGCTGCTGCTGCCGCTGCAAGCGCTGACCACCACCACCGCCGCTACGCTGCTGGGTACCACCCCGACCAGATCCACCCCCTCCACCACCACTGCCTCCTCCGCTGCCGCCTCCACCGCCTCCACCTCCGCCGCCTCCACCTCCGCCGCTGCCTCCACCACCACCGCTGGCACCACAACCACCGTCTCCGCCGCTGCTGCCACCACCACCACCACCCCCGCCACTAGTCCCGCCGCCACCCCCACTCCCTCCGCCGCCACCGCCGCCACCGCCACCGCCCCCTCCAGCTCCACCCGCGCCCTTGCCCCCCTTGCCCTTGCTGGAGCGACGTCTCCCACTAGGGGCAGACGCCGCGCCGACCGACTCTAGACCAAGCAGGTCGGCAGCAGCAGCAGAGGCAACAGAGGGCAGCAAGGGGGAAGGAGAGCACCCCTCAAAGATGGGGGTGCGAGGGTCACCACGAGAAGCACCTACAGCGACGATGCTCTTCTCCGCTGCGAGGAGGGCCTTCTCGAGGAGGTCGACGGTGAGGGTGGTGGGACAGACTGCGAGAAAGTGGTCCCTGACGACGCGAAGGGAGTCAGGGAGGCGCGCGACTACGTAGTAGAGAGCGATGTACATGGGGGGGGGGGTTCTTAGCGCAGAACTCAGCAGGAAGGGCGGCGCGGTAGCGAGTGTCACTAGTGCGGAGGTGCGTAATGAGGTCAGCGACAGTGGGAAAGGCAGAGAGGTCAGGAAAGAGGTAGGGAAGCATGAGACGGCTCAGTGCAGCAGTGGCAGGGGAGGAGTAGCGCGCAACTACAGCGTCGTACAAGGTCTGAGCACTCTTGTACTGACTGAAGTGCGCACGCTCAGAGGTAGGGAGGTGGCGACGCACAGCAAGACGTGCAGCAGCATCGCGGGTGGCCCACTTAGAGCGGACAGCGGGATCAGCATCAGCAGCAGGAGCAGGAGAGGCGCCAGAGGTGAGATCAAAGAGAGAAAGGTCGTCAGCCCTGTCGCACTGTAAGAACAGCTGCAGGTCGTCTAACCAGACCTCAAAATCAATGGCGCGACCCTCAGCGTCAAAAGCTAGGACACTAGGGGTAGCCATGGCGACGACAGCGACGCAGTGCAAGCAGCAGGGAAAGAGCTCGCAGTGTCAGTGGGACTGTGCTCACCAGGCAGGGCAGGTCGTGTAGGTATGCAGAAAGGCGGCTCGGTTGCGGGGCGGCTCGGCTGCTGGGCGGCTCGGGCCCAGGGCGGCTCGGCTCCCGGGCTGCTCGGCGGCTGGGCGGCTCGGGTGCAGGGCGGCTCGGCTCCCGGGCGGCTCGGCGGCAGGGCGGCTCGGGTCCCGGGCGGCTCGGCGTCGGGCGGCTCGGCTCACGGGCGGTTCGGCTGCTGAGGCGGATCGGCCAGGAGATGCAGGGGCGGGGCCGTCAGGTGCAGCGGCGGGTTGACCGGTGCAGTGGCGGGCCGGCAGGTGCAGAGGCGGGCCGGCAGGTGCAGTGACGGGCCGGCAGGTGCAGCGGCGGGCCGGCAGGTGCAGCGGCGGGCCGGCAGGTGCAGGCGGCGGGCCGTAGGGTGCAGTGGCGGGCCGTAGGGTGCTGCGGCGGGCCGGCAGGTGCAGCAGCGAGGCCGGCAGGTGCAGCGGCGAGGCCGGCAGGTGCAGTGGCGGGCCGGCAGGTGCAGCGGCGGGCCGTAGGGTGCAGTGGCGGGCCGGCAGGTGCAGCGGCAGGCCGGCAGGTGCAGTGGCGGGCCGGCAGGAGAGGCGGCAGGGCCGCGTCAGGGGAGGCGGCAGGGCCGCGTCAGGGGAGGCGGGGGAGCCGCGTCAGGGGAGGCGGCGGTGCCGCGTCAGGGGAGGCGGGGGAGCCGCGTCAGGGGAGGCGGCAGGGCCGCGTCAGGGGAGGCGGCGGGGCCGCGTCAGACAGGCGGCGGGGCCGCGTCAGGAGAGGCAGCGGAGCCGCGTCAGGGGAGGCGGCGAGGCCGCGTCAGGGGAGGCGGCGGAGCCGCGTCAGGGTAGGCGGCGAGGCCGCGTCAAACAAGCGGCGGGGCCGCGATCAGGAGAGGTGGCGGGGCCGCGTCTGAGGGACAGCGGGGCTGCGAGGGAAAAGGCGACCCGAGGGGGTCGCTAAAAAAAAGGCGCGCCTCGGGGCGCGCTTCGGTGGGCCCAAAAAAACGGTCCTAAGGTAGGACCCGCTCTATACCATGTGAAGTAAAGAAAACAGGAATGAAATGACTAAGGAAAGATGGGGTACAAATACAACCCTAGAAAACCTGTACCCCATATGTGCTACCCCACTATAGCCTACAGTAACTATGTCATATAAATCTGACACGCTTATAATAAGTAAAGGTTTTCTAGGGGGGGCGCTTATAATCGAATTCCGGCCATAGGCGCCATGCTCCAGATAGAAGCGCCGGCGCCTTAAATCGGACGGCGCCTATATCCGGGGCGATACGGTATGTCATCTGATTTTTAAGAGAAACTTTTTTTATTCGTCTGATTTGTCAGACAATTTTATACGATTCGTCTGAGACTGCAGACATCGAGTTTTTTTTCGTCTGAAACAGACAATTGCCCCCACCTGGCCAGTTGCCCACCTGGCCAGTTACGGACGAGACTAGCCACCCGCCGCGTTACCTTGATGCCACCGGCAGGCTGTACATTGCCGAGGTCGGTGACAACACCACCGGTCCACCGCACGTTACTGCGCCGCAGTCACCCTGCTGGCACGAATCTTGCCAGTTCGTTTGGCATATTCGTGCCAGCGCACGGCAGAAGGCTGCATTTGCAACAGTGACAGCCCTCACTGCGCGTCGGGTCAGCGAGGGATGGATGGCGTGGCTGCTTCCAGCAGAGAAGAGGACGTTCATGCATGCGGCTCGGTTCGGACGGTCCCCCCTCACTCTCCACAGCATTAGGTTACTTTCATCTTACCCTCGTCAGCTAGAGCCAGTCGGTGCATAGTTCCACCGAGATGGCAGTAGACCCCCGCACAGAGGCCCCTCCAGCATCCACTCTGCATGCTTCACCTCCTTCCAGTGCGTTGCCCCGCCCACGCACTGGCTTGGATTTCCTTACGGGGGGGGGTTTCACCCCTACTCCAGTCCCAGCTGCTGCTGTTGCTCCTTCGGCTTGTCAGAATGAGAAACTCGATTCTGCCGAGCAGTCGTACCCTTTCGCTGAGATGGATGCCGAGCCGCTCATACCAGCCACCATGGGGGTTCGCCATCCGGTCAACCTGTCGCATCATCTGTTCCGGCTAGAAAAAATCCATTCCAATCCCGCTCTCCGTTTCTCCCGCCGCGGTTTACTGGCAAGACCAAATTTGTGCAAAATAAGCTTCCGTTTTTGAAACGCCCAAGCCCTTCCTCTGCAGGGAATCCCACAACTAAGGAAGATGGAGGGGAGCGCCGCGGGTCCGAGAATGCCGGACCGAAGATTCTGTCGCTAGAGGAGATGCAGCTAAAAGCCAAGCAGCAGTGGAGCCACCACTTCCCTTGGCTCATCATCGGTGACACCGCCGAAGGTCGACCTTGCATGAGGTGCAAGATCTGCATGGTGTACGTAGATCCTTATCAAAGTCTAGCTTGACTTAGGAGCCATTGCTAGTTAGGTTCTTAGTAGTTTAGGTTTAGGGTTGAGGAGAGTGTCGAGAAAGTTGAGAAGGAGAAATGAGGGGCTTCACTATAGGTTTGTAAGAACATATAGCAAAGTAACAAAGAAGGTGCACCACCAAACAAAGTTTATAATAACTACACTAACTACAGCTACAGGTAGTTACAGATATGTTGTGACACTCCCCCATAACTGCCTGCAGCAGAAGCTAATGCAGAGACACCCCTTGAAGGGGTACACCAAGCGCAGGAGAAGGAGAGGGCAAGTGAGGAGGAGGGACTATATGAGGAGAAGCTGCTGGCAGGTGAAGCTACTGGCTCAAAGGCGGCTGCTTCCTGGAACCTTCCTCAGTCCTCCAACTCCCCTTTTCACACTCCTTGACAACCCTGGCACCTCTCTCCCAGCTCCCCCATACCCTCACACCCACCCCCCCCCAGCGGCAGCTGCAACAGTGGGAGAGAAAGGAGGAGGAGGGGAAGGGGATCACACACACCCATCACCCCCATACCCGCCACCCCCATAGCCTCCGTTCCACGCCTGCACGCGTAGCAAGGAGACGAAGAAGGGGGGGGGGGGGGCAGGGGCGACATAGCAGAACAGAGCGCACGAGGGCGCAGGCAAAGCAGAGCGCACAAGGGCGCGGGCAGCAGCAGGGCGCACGAGGGCGCGGGCAGCAGCAGAGCGCACGAGGGCGCAGGCAAACCAGAGCGCACAAGGGCGCGGGCAGCAGCAGGGCGCACGAGGGCGCGGGCAGCAGCAGAGCGCACGAGGGCGCAGGCAGACCAGAGCGCACAAGGGCGCGGGCAGCAGCAGGGCGCACGAGGGCGCGGACAGCAGCAGAGCGGCAACGGGCAGCACAGGCACGGGCAGCAACGGGCGGCAACGAGCAGCACAGGCACGGGCAGCAACAGGCGGCAGCGGGCAGCACAGGCACGGGCAGCAACAGGCGGCAACAGGCAGCACAGGCACGGGCAACAACGGGCGACAACGGGCAGCACAGGCACGGGCAGCAACGGGCGGCAACAGGCAGCACAGGCACGGGCAGCAACGGGCGGCAACGGGCAGCGCACGCACGGGCAGCAACGGGCGGCAACGGGCAGCGCAGGCACGGGCAGCAACAGGCGGCAACGGGCAGCACAGGTACGGGCAGCAACGGGCGGCAACGGGCAGCACAGGCACGGGCAGCAACGGGCGGCAACAGGCAGCACATGCACGGGCAGCACAGGCACGGGCAGCAACGGGCGGCAACGGGCAGCACAGGCACGGGCAGCAACGGGCGGCAACGGGCAGCACAGGCACGGGCAGCAACGGGCGGCAACAGGCAGCACAGGCATGGGCAGCAACAGGCAGCAACAGGCAGCACAGGCACGGGCAGCAACGGGCGGCAACAGGCAGCACAGGCACGGGCAGCAACAGGCAGCAACAGGCAGCACAGGCACAGGCAGCAACGGGCGGCAACAGGCAGCACAGGCACAGGCAACAACACGCAGCAACGGGCAGCACAGGCACAGGCAGCAACAGGCAGCAACGGGCAGCACAGGCACAGGCAGCAATAGGCAGCAACAGGCAGCACAGGCACGGGCAGCAACAGGCAGCAACAGGCAGAGGCGCACGGCGAGAAAAATACGCCGCGCGCCCGAGGCGCGCGGCAGGACGATAGGCAGCGGAAGCAGGAAGGCAGCAGGAGGACGTTACCTGCTCTGAATACCATATCAAAGTCTAGCTTGACTTAGGAGCCATTGCTAGTTAGGTTCTTAGTAGTTTAGGTTTAGGGTTGAGGAGAGTGTCGAGAAAGTTGAGAAGGAGAAATGAGGGGCTTCACTATAGGTTTGTAAGAACATATAGCAAAGTAACAAAGAAGGTGCACCACCAACCAAAGTTTATAATAACTACACTAACTACAGCTACAGGCAATTACAGATATATTCTGACAATCCTGGGTCACAGTACGGCGCTCGGGGCGAGGGAGGCATCGACATACAGAAGCAGACGATGAGGAAGCATCAGTGGAGCATCCGGCACCGGGAGGCGAAGGACCGATTGGAGCAGCGTGAAGCCCCGCAGAAGAGGCGGGCATCTATCTCCAACTTTGGAGATAAGAGTGCGGAAACTCGGCGTTTGATACAGCTGTTTCTCACCGTGCGTTTCCTTTGCAAATCCGACACCCCCATTTTCATGTTCATGACACTCGTGCAGTTCATGGCAGAAATGGGGACGCCAGATATGCCGGCCAAGGACCAAGGGACTTATTGTTCAACGTGAGTTTATATGTTCACATCATTGTGGTTTCTGAATACCCCTTACTTACCATTTCTTTTGTGTCCTTGTTGACGCAGGTATGGTTTCAAGCAGTTGGTCCAAACGCTGGTGTGCTACTTTAAGGCGAAGCAGATGCAGCACATCAGCATCAGTCCCTTCGTTGGCCTCCAACTTGATGAAAGCGCCGACCGAAGGCGTGGCAAACACATGATTGTGTATGCCACGTTTCTCCGTGGCACGGTGGTGGTTACCGAGTTCTTCGCGAACTTGTCCGTTGAGAAGTGCGACGCCGGGTCGCTTGAGGCGGTCCTGTTGACACACCTTGCTGCTTGCGGCCTCGAGCTGACAAGGATCAGCGGCATGACCACGGACGGCGCGAGCGTGATGACGGGCGGTCAGACAGGCTTGGTGGCGCGATTACGAACGCGGGTGCCGCATATTGTGCCGTGCCACTGCGTGGCCCACAGGTAGTGTGTTGTTTTTACTGTTGTGATCTATCTGACATTTGCTGTCCTCCGACTAATCCTACTCGTGTTATAACTGTAGGGAGGCTCTGGCTGCTAAGGATGCGGCTGAAGAATTTCCCGAGTTCAATGTCGTCGACAAAGTCGACCGGTCTTTCACGGACATTCTCGGCCGCAGCATAGTGCAGCATGCGCAATTCAAGAAGCTGCAGGAGGTCATCACAGAGACCAACCTGGAGATGCAAGGCATTAAGGACGTCCGCTGGCTGTCGCGCGGGGACGCCATCCAGCGCTTTGCAGACGTTCTGCCTGCTGCCGTTGTCCTGCTGCATGAGTACGACAAGACAACGTACACTCTTGTTACCAGTCTCAAGTTTCAGTTTTTCCTCTTCTTTCTGGTTGACGTGCTTCAGGAGCTGAACAGCCTGAATCTCAAGTTCCAACGACGACAGGTAAGGACGTGTAGTTACACCTTGCATTCTTTCTTTCCGTGAGGCGAGACTAATTCTGTTTCTCTTTAATATGTGCAGCTTGATGCGACGCAGGTTCGGCCGATGGTGCAGCACACCACGTTGATCTTGAAAGGTCGCTATGTGGAGTACGGCTCCACCTTCGGCGCCAATAGTGGTCGTCTTGCGACGTTCCTGAAGAACCACGGGAGCACTGAGCAACGCGAAGTGAAGGTCGAAAGCATCGACACCGCGGGAGAACCCGTGACTCACACCTACTTGCTGCACGAGGACCTGATCGGGAAGGAGAAGTTTGGGGGCGACCTGGCGTCGTGCGTGGAGGCAGCATCTAAGTTCGCTGGGAGGACTGTGTTCTTCATTGAGGATCGCATGAAGAGTCTCAAGTCGTTGGATGGGGCCCGTCTGTTTCGGCAGGGACGATACCCTCGTTCCCGCGCTAAAAGAGCGCGTCGTTTTTCCGAATGGCTCGAGTCACTGCGCAACCTGTTCAAGAAGAAGCCCAACCATCCAGACACCCTCCCCGGTAAGCGGTTTGTTTTTAAACCTGCATTTTTACTTGTTGCGTTATTGCTGCCGTGCCAAGAATTGACTCTCTGCAATGATATCCGATGTCCCACACCCTACCCTACCCCTCACCATCAGGTGTTGACTAGGGCAAAGCCGCCAAGGAGCTCACCAGCTTCACGACAATCCTCTCCCATCACCACGAAGACCTGTCCTTCCACGACAGCCTGTCGCAGATGCTCTCAACGCCGGAATGGGAGTCAGCCTATTCGAACCTGGGCCGCCTGTGGATAGCTGTTGCTGTGCTACCACTCAGCACTGTTGAGTGTGAGCGCGGCTTCAAAGGACAGCAGTAGTGGCAGTGATAGTGATGACAGTGACAGCAGTAGTGCAAGTGATTCTTCTTAGGAAAGGATGTCGTTACATAACCTTTAGTATAGAAACTACGTAGGCTAGGAAACCAGCTTGCAATAAGACTAACTATCTAATTCCGTCTGAAGGCTCTGACAAGTGCTTTTTATTCGTCTGAAACGTAAGACTAGGCTTCAACTTTCGTCTGACCATCAGACAAGGACTCAGGACCCGGTCTTACTGTCAAACAGGCTCTGGCACTAAAGTTAGCCCTGCTTCTCGGACCGCACCCACACCTTCGCTTCCTCACTATCTCAATTTTTTGTGGGGAGGTAGACGTCTCTCAGCGACACACCTGGTCGGCGGACCCCTTCCGTGGACCAGAACTGCTCTATCGACTTCCCGGTCGAACTGCAGGTCGACGGACTGCTTCGTCAACCTCCCTGACGGCCCACCCGTCGCACAGACCAGCCAGTTGCAGCTGTCAAGCTCCTTGGTCGACAGCAACACCACAGCGGTCCGCTGCAGCTCGACGTAACCTGTCGAGCAGCTATCCCACTGTGAACAGTCGGCTGCTCCTCCCGTGCATCCGACCAAGTCGTCGGCGTTGCCCAAGCGAGGGCGGGGCCAACACTCCATTCCTGTTAACACTCCCCTGCCGTGCTCACGCTTGGGCCTCCAGCCCACAAGGCACTACTCCACGGAGAAAACTCGTCCTCGGCGTGCACCCCACACACAGCACGCCGTCACCGCACCAGCCGTGCAGAAGGGCACGGCACCTAATGCTGCACCTCGTCGTCGCAGTCGCCGATGTTGACCAGGCAAACTTGGCCGATGGCGACAGAGCACCGGTTGAAAGCCGGAAAATGCAGCGCCTTCGTCAGGAAGTCCGCCGGCTGCTCGGTGGTAGGGATGTAGTTCAGCACAAATTTCCCGCGCCTCACCATGTGCTGCAGCCAGGCGTAGCGTCGCTCCATGTGCTTGAGGTTGCCCGTCAGCCCCAAGCCCTCAGCGACCGTGATTGCCGACTTGTTGTCGACGCGGAGGATGGTCGGCTTCCCAGCGTCGAGCAGCTTGAATTCCGCAAGGAGGAAGCGAAGTCGACGCCCCTCTTTGCCGGCGTCCGTTGCCGCCACGTACTCCGACTTGGTCGATGACAATGTCGCGCACTAGATGCGCGAGCTCGACCAGGAGACTGCGGCCCCTCCGTAGACGAACACGTAGCCTCCCGTGCTCGTCCGGTTCTGCTTGTCGCCCGCGTCGTCGGCATCGACGTAGCCGATCAGCTCCAACAATTCTGGTCCACCGCCAAACTCCAGGGCAGTGTCGCGGGTGTCGGCGAGGTAGGCGAGACAGCGGTCGACCTCGCGCCAATGCTGGTCGCTCCTCACCGTGAGGCCGCTCCCCAGCTTGCTGCAGGCGAACGCGATGTCCGGCCTGGTCGTCGTTGCTTCAAACTGCAGCGAGCCGACCTTCTGCCGGTACTCCTCCTCCTCGCGCTCTTGAGCCTCCTCGTCGTCGAACGTCAGCTGAGCGTAGGCGTCAACCGAGACTGGCGTCTTCGGGACTCGACCGCCCTGCTCCTCGTCGATGAAGCGCCTGCGCAGCTTGTCGGCGTAGCCCTGCTGGTGCAGCCACAGCTTCCTGGGCGGCCTGTCGCGCAAGATCTCCAGCCCAAGGTACTTCACCACTAGTGAGATCTCACGTAGCTCGAAGGCGGCCTCCAGCAGCTCTTTCAGCTCCTTCAGCATAGCGGTGCTGCTGCTAGCAGCAAGCAGGTCGTCGACGTAGACCAGCACCCAGCAGGTCACTCCGTCGTCTCCGACCTTGAAGTAGAGTGCCTCGTCGACCTGGCTCTTCTTCCAGCCAGCGCCCAGCAGCACACCGTCGAGAGCCCTGTACCACAGCAGCGGCGAGTGCTTCAGCCCGTAGAGGCTCTTCAGCAGCTTACACACCCGGCCGGTCCCGTCGTTGAAATAGTCCGGCTGGTACATGTAGAGCACCCTGTCAAGCTTGCTCTGCAGGAAAGCGTTCTTCATGTCGAGCTGCATCAGGTTGAGATCGAGGACGGCGACTATGCTGAGGAAGATCCTCAGCGTGACGTAGCTGCTCACCGGGGAGTACGTCTCGTCGTAGTCAGTGCCGTACACCTGCGTGAAGCCCTTCACGACTAGCCTCGCCTTTTCGCGCTCGACGGTGTCGTCGATGCGGTACTTGGTCGTCAGCACCCATCGGTTCGTCATGATATTCACCCCGCGTGGGCGTTCAACCAGCTCCCAAGTCCCCATGGCGATGAGGCTACAGATTTCTTCTTCCATGGCGATCTTCACCGCCTCGCCCTTCCAGCTCGACAGCGCCTCCTTCACCGTCATCGTGGCGATGTCCCAGCGGTGTTTGGGGTCGGCATGCACGTCAGGGTCGAGCTCCAGCAGGTCTTCATCCTCCTCGGCATCATTGTACAGCAGGTCGTCGTCGACCTCGTCGTACACCGTGGTGAAGGCAGCTGGCGGTAGACAGACATGTAAGCTCAACCGCTCCGGCGGCCGTCGAGCTCGACCTGTACGTCGCAACTCGGGCTTCGTGATCGGCACTTCCACTGAGGAAAGTAGAACGAGAATGGATGAAATATGGAATGAAAGTGATACAAGTATGCAACCCTAGAAATGTGTACCCCATATGGGCTACCCCACTATAGCCTACAGAATATTATAATTTGACACACCCCCATAGGCAAAGTGGGGGAGAACAAGGGGTCACAAGACCAGTCAATCAAAGCAAAGCAAAGCTCAGGGTGGATCACAAAGTCACCACACATTCCGAGCACAAGTTCAAAGGCCAAAAGGCCAGTTCACATGCAGGAGCACATATATATATATATATAAGAGGCTAAGCAAGCAGGAGCAGGAGTATATATATGTGACAGTACAAGCAAGGTCAAGAAGTGAGCAAGTGAGGCAAGACAGGCACAAGACCCAGTTGAGTGCAGAAGCGCTGATGATCACAAGGCGCAAGTGCCTTGGTGAAGACATCAGCAGTGTTGGCCTCAGAGGCCACGTACGCAAGCCGCAACTGTCCACGCTGCTGTAGCTCACGAGCAAGGAAGAAGCGGAAAGCAACGTGCTTTGTTTTGTGCTCCAGTCGCTGCTCTTGACACAAGGCCAGCATGGCCTTGTTGTCTACGTACAGGACTGGAGGAGAACGAGGCGGCTCTCCAAGGTCGGTCAGCAGGTAGGTGAGCCAGCGAAGCTCCTGGGCAGCCATGGCCCCGGCGTAGATCTCAGCCTCACAATTGGAGCCGAGAACAGAAGACGAGCGAGTAGCCCGCCACGAAACAGAGCCGGAACCAAGGCTGAAGGTGTAACCCTGTGACGACCGCTGCGTAGCCTAGTCGTCAGCCCAAGGAGCGTCCGCGTGCCCAGTGAGGACCACTGGACTCCGCCCTCCAAGCACTAGCCCCGTGCTCGACGTACTGCACAAGTATCGCAACACCCTCTTCGCTGCACCCATGTGCTCTGGTCGGTGTCTCCCAGGAGCAACATAGCGTGAGAGAATACTAAGAGAGTATGCAAGGTCAGGTCGTGTGCAGGTCATCAGGTACATGAGGCAGCCAACAAGCTCTGGATATGGGCCACTCGACTCTACGGACTCATCCGAAGGCAGAGCTGAGAGTGAGTGGCGAGTAGGCAGAGGAGTGGCCTGAGGCGAGGAGTACGTGAAGCCGAAGCGCTGAAGGACCTGCTGCACCATGTGTGACAGAGTCAAGGTAATGGTGCGGCGTGCTCTGTCCCGGGTGATCTGCAAGCCAAGGTAGCTGCGCAGTTCACCCAGGTCAGTGCACGTGTGTCTCTTCTGCAGCTCTGACTTCACGTAGGCGAGTCCAGCAGTGTCAGCTGTGGCAAAGACCAAGTCGTCGACGTACACGAGGATGTTGAACGGTGGCAAAGAGGTGTCAGTGCGCAGAAACAGCGTCGGGTTGGCAGTAGAAGGAGCAAACCCAAGAGCCGCAAGTGTAGTCCTCAGTGTGTCGTGCCACTCACGTGGCGCCTGGCGGAGACCGTAGACTGGACGCCGGAGACTCCACTGGGTACCAGAAGGGAAAGACCCAGTGAAGCCAGGTGGACTGCGCAGCCAGATCTCCTCGTGCAGGCTGCCCTGCAAGAAAGCAGTGCTGAAGTTGAGAGAGTGCAGCTCGTAGTCACGGTGAGAAGCAACGTGCAGCAGTACCCGAAGAGTGGTCATCTTCGGGGTGGGGGAGAAGGTGTGAAAGTAGTCAACTCCCTGCCGCTGACTGAAGCCACGAGCCACGTAACGCGCCTTGAAGACAGGCGGAGAACCCGGCGGCCGCTTCACCCTGAAGATCCACATGCCACTGACGATGTTCGCCCCAGGAGGGGGGACAGCGTCAACGTAGGTGCCTGTGGACTTCCAGGAAGCCATCTCTGCATCCATAGCTGCCTGCCACTGAGAGGAGTAGGGACCCTCTATCGCCTCCGCGTAAGAGCGCGGAGTCGGGATGTCAAGTGCATCCGGGTCTCCCACAGGGGTAAGCACTACGGACACGAGATGAGGTGAAGCAGCCACCAGACACTGGAACTCCTCCTGCCTGTCCTCAAGGACGTCCGTGCCAAGGGCACACTCACCCCCGACGGACGGAGGACAGACAGACTCAGACTCACCGACAAGACTAGCAGCGTAGTCTAGGCGACAGCGAGCAGCAAAGTCGACGAGCTCAGCAACGAGGGCAGACGCAGCAGTGGACTCGAAAGAAGGGTCAGTGACAACAGTAGCAAGGAGACGCGTGACAGTAGGACTGGCAGCACGAAGAGAATCTGACTCCGGGTCGGCAAGAGCAGGAAGAGAGGACGCAGGAGGAGAAGGCAAAGGGGCACGCAAAGGAGCAGTGGACGGACGCAGAGACATCCGGTGCGTGCCAGGGACAGGAGGAGGACGCTGACGTGAACCGCGACCACCAGCGCGAGCAGCACGAACAGGCGACGCAGGACGCGACGCAGGCTCACGACACTCAGTAAGACCTCCAATAGGACCAGCGTAGGGAGAAGGAGCAGGCAAAGGGGAGGCAGGCTGTAGCTGTGGCTGTGACAGGACAGGCTGTGGACCCTCTAAGGGAGGAGGAGGACCACTAGAAGGTGGAAGACCAAGAACCTCCTGCAGGAGTGGAACGAAGTAAGGTCGAGGCCGCGCGACGACGCCAGAAACAGCAGGGACAGCACAAGTACCCCCAGCAGGAGCACCTGCCCCAGCAGCACCGCCAGCAGCTCCAGAACCTCCAGCAGCACCCTTAGCAGGACCGCCAGAGGTAGTCCCAGCTCCAACACCCGCAGCAGCACCAGCTCCAGTGGAACCTGCAGGCCCAGCAGCTACAGTACTCGCAGTACGAGCACCTCCGGGACCCGCGACAGCAGCACCCTCATTAGCCGAAGAACCTCCAGCACCAGCAGCAAGGCTCCAGCGCCGGGCAAACCACTCTCGCAGCTCGTGTGGAGAGAGTGGCTACCGGCGAGACGAAGCACCTAGAGGACCTCCAGGCGGAGCAACCCCAGGCTCAGCACTCCCAGGCCCAGCACCCCCAGGCTCAGCACCCCCAGGCTTTGCACCCCCAGGCGTAGCACCCCCAGGCTCAGCACCCCCAGGCTCAGCACCCCCAGGCTCAGCACCCCCAGGCGTAGCACCCCCAGGCCCAGCACCCCCAGGCTCAGTACCCCTAGGCTCCGCACCCCCAGGCCCAGCACCCCCAGGCTCAGCACCCCCAGTCAGAGCACCCCCAGGCGCAGCGCCCGCAGTACCCCTAGGCTCAGCACCCTCAGCAGCACCAGAGTCACCAGTGACCTCGACAGGCTCGACTGCGTCTACTTGGGACACACCTGAAGGGGCAGGACCCTGAAGGGGGAGGGGGTCTACCGGGGGGGACCTGGTACCAAGAAGAGCGGGGGCGGGGGGAGGGACGGAGTGCGGTAGGGGAAGAGGCGGTAGTAGGGGACCGACTCGTCAAACGTGACGTCCTGGGAGGACAGAACACGGCGAGAGGTGGGGTGGTAGAACTGCCACCCGGGCGCGTCAAGGGGGAACCCCAGGAAGACGCAAGGAGCAGCGCGAGGGGACAGCTTGTCCGCAGACAAGTCGCGGACAAACGCCCGAGATCCCCAGACCCGGAACGCTGACGCATCGCCAACCTTCCCCGTCCACAGCAGGGCTGGGGAGGTCTCCGGCCTGGAGACCCTGGGGTGAAGGTTGATCTGATGCGCCGCGTACCTGACCGCAAACGGCCACAGAAAATGGGGGGCAGCCGCATGCATCATAGACGTACGAGCGGCGTCCATGACCATGCCTATGCGGCGCTCAGCAATCCCATTTTTCTGCGGAGAGTCCGGAAGCGTGAAGGTCTTACGGATGCCTCGTGCATGACAGTAGGCTCGCAGAAGGCCAGAGGAGAACTCTCCGCCTTTGTCCGAGTGCAGACGCAGAACAGGAAAGTCCGAGCCAAAGCTCTGCCTGAGCTGGAGACAAGCTGCGCGGATCCAATCGATCAGCACCTCAGTGACATCACCCTTGCTGCGCAAGGGGAAGACTGTGGTGTAACGCGAGTAGTCGTCAACAACGAGCAGGAAGTAGCGCTCGTGACCCTGTCCACGGACGCGGGCTGGGCCCCAAACGTCCATGTGAAGCGTCTGCAACGGGGCCTCTGTCGGAGGAAACTGGGAGGAGTGAGGGGCACCAAGCTGGCGCCCCTCGACACAAGGGACACAGGTAGGGCCAGGGCCCAGAGGAAGGGGAGGGAGGGACCGAGGGAGACCAGACACAAGAAGATGGGAGGCCATGCCTCTGAGCCGAAGAAGAGAGGGGTGACCAAGGCGGTGGTGCCAGAGAAGAGTCTCGTGAGACAGGAGACGACACGAACAGGGGGCAGACTAAGGACCAGACCTGGACGCTGCAGCAAACACCTGACCCGACGTAGCTTCCCTACCAGACTCAGCAACGAGAGGAGACGCAGTGGTCAGTGTGTTCAGGCTCGACCCCGGCTGATGGGTAAACGTAGCCAGGTGTCGGCCTGTGCTAGCCTCTGTGCAGTGCGTCACCCACTGGCGCGTAGGAGTGAACTGGTGGACACCCGCATCCTGTAGGTCAGCACCACTCACCAGGTTCGTAGAGAACAAGCGGAGGTAGAGACCGGACAGGGTGTCAGAGGGAGCCGCCGGACACGGGAGGACTGTGGAGAAGCGAGACAGGACAGGACCTCCAGAGGGATCTGCCAGAGACACCGCAACCGGCCGACTAAGCGGCGTGAGTGTGGTGCGGTCCCGAAAGAAGGAGCGAGACGCCCCAGAGTCAAGGGTGAAGGTGAGGGAGGCCGAAGCCGACGTAGTACCTGAGAGCGCAGACTCACCAGTACCTGAGAGCGCAGACGCACTGGCACCTAGAGCAGCAGCCTCACCAGCACCTAGAGCAGCAGTACCAATGCCCGGGTCGGGCGGGAAACACCGGTAACAGTCACCCTCATCACTAATAGTCACAGCATACATGGCAGCAAGGATAGCATCAAAGTCAAGATCATAGATAGCTACGCCTGCCCTAGACAGCTCTCCCCAGCGGGGGATCTCACTGGCCTCCGGGAACTGCTGACGCCAAGCGTCCGTCAGGCGGCCAAAGCAGCGCAGGGTGGGGTGGGCACCCCCACACTGCTCACCCGCGCGGTCGCCGGTGCGAAGGATGTAGGTGCAGGGACCAAAACCCCCACCACGCTGACGCTGCGTGTACCACTCACGGAGCTGCTGAGGGGGGGGGATGTCACGAGAACGCTGCTGCTGCTGCTGCTGCTGGCGGTGACCACCACCAGTGCTGCTCCGCTGCGAAGCGCCACCCCGACCACCTCCACCACCTCCACCACTGCCTCCTCCACCTCCGCCACCACCGCCGCCTCCGCCAGTACCGCCGCCGCCTCCGCCGCCTCCGCCTCCACTGCTGCCACCGACACCTCCACCCCCGCCACCACTCCCACCGCCACCCCCACTCCCTTCAGCCGCCTCCACCTCCACCTCCACCGCCCCCGCTAGCTCCACCCACGCCCTTGCCCCCCTTGCCCTTGCGAGAGCGACGTCTCCCGCTAGGGGCAGACGCCGCACCGACCGACTCAAGACCAACGAGGTCAGCCGCAGCGGCAGAGGCGTCAGAGGGCAAAAGGGGGGAAGGAGAACACCCCTCAAAGATGGGGGTGCGAGGGTCACCACGAGAGGCTCCTACAGCGACGATGCTCTTCTCCGCCGCTAGGAGGGCCTTCTCTAAGAGGTCAACAGTGAGAGTGGTGGGACAGACTGAGAGGAAGTGGTCCCTGATTACACGAAGGGAGTCAGGGAGGCGGGTGACTATATAATAGAGACTGATGTACATGGGGGGGGGGGGGGGTTCTTGGTGCAGAAATCAGCAGGAAGTGCGGGGCGGAAGCGAGTGTCACTAGTGCGGAGGTGCGTAATGAGGTCAGCGACTGTGGGAAAGGCAGCAAGGTCAGGGAAGAGGAAGGGTAGCATGAGGCGGCTCAATGCAGCAGTGGCAGGGGAAGAGTAGCGCACAACGACAGCGTCGTACAAGGTCTGAGCACTCTTGTACTGACTAAAGTGCGCGCGCTCAGCGGTAGGCAGGTGGCGACGCACAGCAAGACGTGCAGCAGCATCGCGCGTGGCCCACTGGGAGCGAACAGTAGGGTCAGCATCAGCAGCAGGGGCAGGAGAGGCGCCAGAGGTGAGGTCAAAGAGAGAAAGACCGTCTGCCCTATCGCACTGTAAGAACTGCTGCAGGTCGTCGACCCAGACCTCAAAGTCAATGGCGCGACCCTCAGCGTCAAAAGCTAGGACACTAGGGGTAGCCATGACAACAGTAGACTAGCAGTACTAACTGTAGGACAGGGGCAGTGCAGTGACAGAAGTGCTGCTCTCACCAGACAGGGCGGTTCGCGCAGCTCAGCAGCACAGTAACACGGCAACACTGCTGCTCGGACGGCTCAACAGCAACTGCGGCTCCGCGATACCAGCGGCTCGGCTCCTCAGGCGGCTCGGGCAGCTCGGGCGGCCCGGGCGGCTCGGGTCCTCAACGGCACAGGCGGCTCGAGCAGCTCGGGCGGCTCGGGCGGCTCGGGCGGCTCGGGCGGCTCCGGCGGCTCGGGCGGCTCGGGCGGGTCGGGCAGCTCGGGTGGTTCGGGCGGAGCGGGCAGTGAAGGGCGGCGGGGCCGCAAGGTAGGTGGCGGGGCCGCGGTGGGAGAGGCGGCGGGGCTGCAGAGAAGGGCGGCGAGGCCGCTGAGAATGGTGGCGGGGCCGCAGCGAGAGAGGCGGCGGGGCTGGGACGAAGGGCGGCGGGGCCTCAGTGTGAGGCGGCGGGGCCGCAGTGAAGGGCAACGGGGCCGCTGAGAAGGGCGGCGGGGCCGTAGTGAAGGGCGGCGGGGTCGCAGTGAAGGGCGGCGGGGCTGCAGCGAGAGAGGCGACGGGGCCACGACGAAGGGCGGCGGGGCCGCGACGAAGGGCGGCGGGGCCGCGACGAAGGGTGGCGGGCCGCGACGAAGGGCGGCGGGGCCGCTGAGAAGGGCGGCGGGGCCGCGACGAAGGGCGGCGGGGCCGCGTCGAGAGAGGCGGGGGGGGGGGGGGGGGGCGCGACGAGGGGCGGCGGGGCCTCTGATAAGGGCGGCGGGGCCGCTGAGAAGAGGCGGAGGGGCCGCTGAGAAGGGCGGCGGGGCCGAATCGACGGGCGGCGGGGCCGAATCGACGGGCGGCGGGGCCGAATCGACGGGCGGCGGGGCCGTTAGGGCGGCGGGGCCGAATTGACGGGCGGCGGGGCCGTTAGGGCGGCGGGGCCTAATCCACGGGCGGCGGGGCCTCTAGTGCGGCTCGACAAAGTGAGAGAGCCCGAAGCGCGACTCAGGCCGAGCGCGCTTCGGGCAGGAAAAAAGAAAGAAGAAAAAAAAAAAAAAAAAAAAACTCGATGTGGTGGGCCCTTGGTACAGTTCCCACGGGGGAACCTGCTCGATACCATGAGGAAAGTAGAACGAGAATGGATGAACTATGGAATGAAAGTGATACAAGTATGCAACCCTAGAAATGTGTACCCCATATGGGCTACCCCACTATAGCCTACAGAATATTATAATTTGGCATCCACTACATCACTGTCGGTGGACTCCTCACCCGCCGATAGCTCCCCTTTCTCATCAACTAGAACGTCATTGACTAGCTGCTTCGACCCTTCGACCGGCTATTCCTCTGCTGCTGCCTTCGACAACTCTCCTGTCGACCGCTTCGGCTGCCGTTCCCCTGTCGAGTATCCCCCTGCCGATGCCTCCTGTTCAACCGGCTCCCCTGTCTAATGCTCCCCTGTCGTCGACGGCTTCCCATCGTAGTCGACGAGCTTGGCGCCTTGTCGTCCACCGGCGATGCCACTGGCCGGCGCCACAGGCGACGCCTCAAGGCTCCCCTCATCGTCGGTGGCCGACACAGGTGCCGACGCAGGCAGATCAGCGACGGGAGAGGGACGAGCAAGGACAGGGGAAGGTGGAGGAACCTCCACAACATCTTCATCAGCAGGCCCGTCGACTTCGGCGAGCAGGGGAACCGTCGCCGTCGAGGTGTCCGTCGGCGGGTGCGCCTGCGTCCGCTCCGACGCCGGCCCATACTTCGCCTTCCACACCTCCAGCGACAGCGTCTCGTAGAAGATCACCTCGACCGACGTGACCACCTTGTTGTCGGTCAATTCGAGCACCTCCCAGCCCTTGCTCTCCGGCGACACACCCAGGTGAAGCCCCCAACGAGCCTTCGGCGCCAGCTTCCCACCTCGTTGCTGCTCGGGAACCATGAACTGCACCATGCAGCCCCACACCCGCGCTAGCGTAAGGTCAGGCCTCTGCCCAGTCAGCAGCTGGTACGGAGTCGTTCCCGGCGGCGTCGTTGACCGCTCCAAGCAGTTGCGCACCCAGACCGCTTGTCGTAGAGCAAGGTGCCACCAGTGATGCTGCACGCTCATGTGCAGTAGCATCGTCCGCATGGACTCGACGACCGTGCGCATCTCCCGCTCTGCCATGCCATTTTTCTGCGGAGTGTAGGGGCACGTCAGGTCGTGGACGATGCCCTTCCCGTCGACGAAATCGGTGAACGCCTTCCCGAGGAATTCCCCTCCTCGATCGGAGCGAAGCGACAGAACCGACTTCTTCGTCTATCGTTCCACAAGCACCAGCCACTTCTCGAACTCCCGCAGCACATCGCTCTTCTTAGCGACCGGCATTGCCCACACGTATCGAGTATGGCGATCCTTCAGCAGTAGGAAGTACAAGCTGCCATCCTTGGCAGCCACCCGAAATGGCCCGCACAAGTCAATGTGCACGACAGCCAGCGCCTCCGCTGCATCCGAGCCCTTGGCGGGGAAGGTGTGCCGCGCCAGTTTTCCTCCGACGCACGAGACACACGGCGGGCCTGCTCCGGTCGACGACGTGATGTCGAGCCAAGTAGCAACATCATGCTTCGCCGAGCTCTTGATCGTGTCGACGCTGACGTGTGCGAGCCGCGCATGCATCCTGTCGGGGTTCGTCTTCGTCGCGGAGATGATCGTCCGCAGAGCCACCACCTCGGTCGACGGCGACTGCGTCGAGCAGGGGCGAAGGTCGGTGCAGAGTATCCGTCCGGTGTAGCGAGCTCGACCGAGCACCTCCCCAGTCGCGGAGATGAGCGGCATCTCATCGCCATCGCCCTGCAGCAGCACTCCGCTCTCCTTCAGCTGGCCAGCAGACAACAGGTTTGCCTGTACGCCCGGAACGTAAAGTACGTCGGGGATGAGGACCCGCTTCCCGGCCTCCCCTTGCAGAGCGACGGTTCCGCGACCCTCGAAAGGCTGCAATGCCCCGTTGAACCCACGCACGTGCTTCACCCCGTCGCTCGGCCCCATGTCGACGAAGACCGACTTCGTCCCCATCAGGTGGTGGGAGCACCCGCTGTCGAGCAGCACCGCCATCGGGTTGGCCTGCACAGCCGCCGCCACTGCCTGGAAGTCCTCGCCGGCCTCCGGCGCCAGCGAGACCGTCGGCTCCACTACGCCGACCATCGAGCACGACGCCTCCCCGTCGCCTTGGCTCTTGCCGCTTGAGCTGTCGACGTCTTCTTCGACGCTTGCTTCTCCTTGCGCGCCTTCTCTACTCGACGGGGGCGACGACTGGCCGATCGTCCGCGGCCTCCCTTGTTGTCGTCCTCGTCACTGTCATTGCGGTCGGGGCACTCGAAGGAGAGATGGTCAGGGTCGCCGCAAATCCAGCACTCCCGCCGTCGACCACCACCTCGTCGACCCTTGTCCTGCGTCGACCTCTTCTCGTCGACGTCCTTCGTCGACCGCCCACCTCCGCTACCACCTCCGCCTAGCTTCCCGCGCTGCTCCTGCTGATAATTCGGCTTCATCGGTGCAGCGTAAATCGCCTGCGGAAGGAACTACGTGGGCTGCTCTGCCTCCTGCATCGCCTCATCCTGGAGAATGTAGCTGGTGATGGAGTCCTCGTCGAGGGACTCACGCGTGCCGGGCACCATCATCATCCTCTTCATGAGATTGTAGCTGCGCGGCAAGCCCTTGACGATGTGGGTGATGTAGGACGCCGTCGAGTATTCGGCGCCCGCCATTCGCATCTCAGCCAGGATCCGTCGAGCACGGTTGCAGTAATCCGTCGCCGACTCCTGCTCGCCCATCCGAATGTGAGTCATCTTCTCCTCTAGCTGTCCGATGTACAGGTCGTCCCTGACCTGGTACGTCGATATGATGAAGCGCCATGCCTGGTGACCAACATCCAGTCGCTCTCGACAGCTCCTGAGCGCCAGCTGCACCACCGGCGAGCAGCACCTCGAGATGACCATGAAGGTGAGCAAGTGAGCAGAACGAAACTCCCCGCGCAGCCCGACATCCTCCTCGGGCGGAATTGGCACGATGCCGTCGGCGAAGCCCTTCAGCCCGGCGACCTCCAGCTGAGGTTCGATCGACTCCCTCCAGGTGATGAGGTCCCGTCGACCTTGCAGCGGAGCGACGGTGATTCGATCTGGCAAAAACTTGAAGTAGCCATACGCCGGTGCCATCCCGCCCGCCGTCACATGCGTCGTCGCCGAGAGCCCGCCACCACTTCGTAGAGGGAAGCGACGTCGAACATCGACGTCGTCGTGAGAGCTGCCTGCAGCCGCCGTCGACCGCTGCACTCGCGCCTGGATTCCGTCGACACCACCGTCGACCTTGATCACTCCTCTCTGCCTCGTGCCTTCGCTGCCGCTGACTCGTGCACCACCGTCGACCTCGTCGTCGACGCCTCCTTCGTTGCGCACCGGTCGAGGAGAAGCAGGACGGGAAGGGTGTTCCGTCGCCCACTGTGACCGGATGCCCAACTCGACGATCACTAAGGGGATCGTCCCGTACTCGCCATTCGCATGGCGTCTCCTCGCGTCATCCAAACGTGCCTCCAAGGTGTCCGCTACACCCGCATCAACTACGGGGTCGACCATGGCGACTATCGCTGCTGCCGGCCTACGAACGACTTAGTAGGTGCACAAGTCGGCTCCTATCTGAAGGTCGCGTGTTCGATCCACGCTCACCGCACCATGCGAAGATCAACTCTACAACGGTAGTGAGCTAGACTATAGGGTTGGCGCGAACTACTAGAGGTGAGCACATGACCTCAGCGAACACATGACCACCGAATAGAATTAGAACCGGGGGCACAGCCAACTGTACAGCGACAGTTCAGACTGACACAACCCGAGCTCGACGAACTGAGGAAGAAGTTAGATTACTTATTAGCGAAGAAATTCATCCGACCGAGCTCGTCACCGTTCGCTCCACCGATACTGTTCACACCAAAAAAAGACGG